AGTGGGTGATGAGCAGCTGCATTGTGGTTCACTTGCTTTTTTTATTATTATTATTATTATTATTATTATTACATTATTATTGTTGTTGTTGTTATTATTTTATTTCAATTATTAAACGGTTTTTATCTCAACCCATGAGTTTTTCTCGCTTCTACTCTTCCAATTCTCTCCCCCATCCCACCCGGGTCAGGGGGAGAGTGAGCGAGTGGCTGTGTGGTGCTCAGTTGCTGACTGAGGTTAAACCACGACACCATCTCTTTTTAAAAGTGCTGCAATATGCCAGGTTAAGTTCTGTTTTTATGTATGTAATAATCTTGCATACTACTAATGAAAAATTATTATAAAATTAGAAGTTTGAAACAAAGCTTTTTGTGGGGTTCGGTCCAGTCCTTGTTCATAATTTTCACTGTTTTGTTTTTAACAGGAGTCCTGTGCTTGTGTTCCAGTGCGTGCATCGCCATGTCATTTGCCTAGACTGTTTCCATTTGTACTGTGTGACTATGCTGAATGACCGTCAGTTCATCCATGACCCAGAGCTTGGCTATTCCCTCCCTTGTGTAGGTATGTTTTAGCTGATTTTCTTTTTAAAAATTTATCTGATTTTCATTTCAGGGCAAGATTTTTTTTATCACCTATTAGTTTTGAGTATGTCTGTGGAATTATACTGTTTTCATATGAGTTGTTCCATTTCATGGAGAAAATATTTGAATATTGAAGTGGTTCTTGCTGAGCATGTGAACTGGAGAATTAACTGGATTCCAAAGGGCATTTCTTTTAAAAGCAAATGCATACTTTCTTCACATTAGTATTTTATGATCATGAAGTGCTAGCAGATGATAGCATTACACTCTGGTTAAAAAAAAACCCACCTTGACCTCCACATTTCCACTTGCAAATTAAGTACATTGTTAACTTTCTTGGCCTGTCTTCAAGTACTAATACAAAAAGGACTGCAATAGGAATTTCAAATAGCCTTCCTGTTGATGAAGTTATTGCTACTAATTGTCACCTCATTGAATGAAATGTAGATCACCCTGAGAAGATGGTAGATTATCTGTTTTACCTGAGTAGGAAACAGAGTTTGACTTACCTAAACAGAGACTTACTTACACTGAATCTGGAAGGTGTGTCTTGAGAATTGATTCAATTACACTGGCACATGGACTGCAAAATTCTCAAAAATTTTGCTGTGAAGAAATGTATTAGAATTTATTTTTCCTGTTGCTAAATTTGCATATGTGCATATATGTTTGTCACAAGTGCTGTATAGTGCTATGAATCATTTTCCAGCATATTAGAAGCTGCATAGAAGATGGGTTTGCCTGATTACCTAAATGGCTGACAAATAAGTTTCAAATCACTAGATGGAAGAAAAATTGGCAAAATTTCTTAGGAGAGTGGCATTTACTTAATGTGAGGACATGCCTTGAGGATATTGAAAGTACAGTAGTAAGAGCCATTTAAAATTATTTATTTTTAATTGCTTCAGGAGCAATCTAACAATGGTCATCAGTTCACATTTCGCTAGAATTGCTGTTTACGTGCTGTCTCGCCAGGTCTCATTTTACTTGCCCCCCAACAGTTTGCTCTGCTACTTCATTTACACACTGATGTCATACTGCACAAAACACTTTTTAACGTTCTGTAAGAAAACTTGTCATGAGGAACCTAACAGGAACTTTATACCCAGTGCTCTTTCCTTGACCTTGACATTACTGCAGTACTGTGTGGTCAGCCTGTACTCTCAGGCTTCCTCCTTGCTTCTCCAAAAGTTAATCCATTTTCTTCTCCCACACAAATTAATCAGCTACTTGAGATGAATCCATCCTTTTTTCCCCTCGTTTATCAGTTCTCTTCCCTGTTCTCCTGTAAGGTCCTTAGGTTAATCAGTTATCCCACTGGTGCAGCAGGCAACTCTTCTTTCTCCTCTCTGGTGGGCCTCCTTGCAGCCACAGCTAGCGTCACAGAGCTTGCTCCAGTTCAAGCTGTTACGTTAAACTAATGGGCCTTCCACCTTTTCTGTCTGTAAACCCATTGCTAGTCACGCTGCACAAAACTTGTATTAGGATTTTTCCATATATCTTACAACTCTAGTTGTTCAGTTCAGAAGTTTTATCTGTCCTTTTTTCTCAGAGAGGAGTCTAAGAAGTTTGCAGAAGTTTTTACTCCTGGCTGGCAGTAGCAAGCCAGTCTTTTTCTCTCTTCTATGTGTTGAAGTTGAACACTATGGGAATTGGGCGGTAGAAGCAGAGTAGATGGGATGAGGAGAAAATGCAAGAAGACAGAGCTGAAATGCTCAGGGACGTGATTTCAGTCTTTGAGAGGTGAGGAAGGCATAGGCTTGGCCTAAGAAAGGGATACTGTAAAGGGTGCACAAAGAATGACTGTACTTACAGAATCATAGAATAGTTTGGGTTGGAAGGGACCTTTAAAGGTCATCTAGTCCAACCCCCCCGTGAAATAGGGTTCAGCTGTGGGAATGGAGAAGCAGCTATTGCTGCCAATCTAGCCTCAGCTGTGTTATACTTTAAGTGTTAAAATAGTAAATATAGAAATGCTAAAATATTGCTAATCTTAACATTTCAGAACTCCCCAAATCAGAAAGTTATTTCCAAAATACTATACATTAAAGTAGTACTCATAGTAGTAGTAATAATAATAATACAAATGCGATACATTTTCTCTCTGTTCTCCGGATAGTAAGAATGCTTCTTGGAAAAATTTCTGCAGAGGTGCTGCCCTGTGCCAGAGGAGTGCATAGTTTAGGCATGCCACAGTGCAGCGCAGTGCTGTGCAGTACAAAGATTCTTGAGCTGGAGCCGAATCATGATGCTGAAGGGAAGGAAGTATAGTTGTGTCAGTATAGCATGTAGGACGGGCTCTTTGACAGTTCTGGTAGGCTGATGAGGACTGACCAGGCAAATACTACTTCAGGATCCATGTTAGGGTCTCTGCACAGTGGTGTGTCGTGCTGTCTAGGCATACGTGCTTGCTCAGAGCCAGCCTGATTATCTCTAAGAAGTATTGACATTATACTGTGCTGGCATGCTTTGTGTTGGAGAGGTTGTCAGTCACAATCTCTGAGTATTCAGCAGTTTTAAATAATATTCCATCTAAACCTAAAATTGATTGCTACCTCTGTCAGTTCTCTTTGTTGTGTTAGCAGTTCTGTATCAATAAAAGCATTTGTAAGCATTATCTTTCAGACTGCTTTGCAGGATGAAGAATCTAATCAGTGCTGTTGTAACTTCACTGGTTCATTTCTGCAGCTACCTGAACCTGACTTACAAGAAATTTCTAGTTTCTAGAATTAGGTTATATTTGAGTTAGGAACTGATGACTATTTTTTGTCCTTTGAGAAAGTCATGAGGCTGAGTTGCATCACACCTGTGAAGAAGAGGAATGCCTGAGTTGCTCAACCCACTGTTCAGCTACAACGGATTTTAGCCTCCTTCATAGCTATGGATCCAGCAGCTTCCATCAGCAATGAATTCAATTAAGAAACATTCAGAACAGTATCATGCGATTTTCTTTTCCACTTATCATGGCACTCCTACTGAATAGTATAAGATTGCATTTTTGCAATCTACAGTTCGCAATCATTTTTGCAGCTGCAGTTTGCAGTTTGTATTTACACATAAGGACGAGAAAGCACTGTTTGACACAACTTTCTCTAATTACCTCAGTGAAGCCTAAAATAAATTCCCCTTGATGGGAATGAATACCACGGGACATGCCAAGAAAAGACTTTTCTTTTTTACTGTGGTAATGTTGGTTTAATACATGTTATCTCTAACAGAGCATGACAAACGAAAAAATATTAGATCTGAGCTTTATTGAAAGGTTAGATGTTGATTTGAGCCTGCTTCTAAAAGGAATACAAAACAGAGTCGTATTTACTGTAATGAGATTTATGTTACGGTAGGTGACCAGGTTGCACAGACAGATCAAAACAGTCTGTATTAATACATGTATTTTTAAACATCACGGACTAATGCTGAAGTAGTATTTATGATGTCTTGAACAGAAAATACTAATGTTCTGAGTTCAGACTTTGTAAAAATTATTTTACTTTTCCCTTTTAATGTAAGAATGGATTTACTTAAAAACTAGCCCATTTCTTCAAGGCATGTGTGCACACATTGCCCTAGAACTGTACAGGAGGGTTTGGTTTTGTAATTAAGCCTATTTAAATTGTTTGCACTTCCAATTAATTCTGTTCATCCTAGTGTTTTTCAAAAATAGAGATAACATAATGAATACAGCCTGCAGTTTCCATTAACATTTGACTCACTGTTCCCGATTTTTATCAAGGGAATGTACCAACATAGCAAGTTTTTTTATATCTTTTATTGGATCAATCTAGAGGTGAAAGCACCGCACACACAACAGAATAAAAATAAACAGCAGCTGCTACAGCAAAGGGTCACTGTGAGAGACGAGATCAGTGTTATCACATGTGTATGATAACTTGAGCTGGAAAGGATCTAGGGATTTCAGATAAACAGTGCTTCTCAAATAGGTTTAATTTCTTGCTTCCTGGCATAGATAGACCAGAAGATGCATTTTGTCATTGTGTTCAGGTATTTTGTATGGTTATATCCTTGCTTTTCTTTGATTTCTGTTATGTGGCCTAATTAAGCAGGAGATAATAGGTGTTCAGAAGAAGGCTATCATCTCAGCTGATGAGCTGAGATATATCACCTTGATAATGCCATAGCTTCACTTTGTTCCAACACAAAATGTGTCATTGCTGTGATTTTTGGAAGAACAACATTAATTCCTTAGCGCTTAGCTGCTAATCTAGTGCCAGGCAGCACTACTCCAGCTGAGAACTGCCAGTGTTGAGGACCAGAGCTCTGAGCACAGTAACTGGTGCATTGATAGGATTAGCTGTTCAGAGTAGCGTGGCAGCAGCCCCATGATTCAAACCCACTCTATCAGCTCAGAGCAAGGACTTACAGATAGGAGCTGGCTAGATTTCATTGGTCGTTAATATAAAAAAGTAAACGTTACAGATTATACTCTCTCTGCCCTTGTTAAATGGCAACAAAAATCTATCCCGTCTCTCTGTATGGTGTCTTGTATTAATGAGGCTTCATGCACAGAAATTTCCATGAGTGGTGACCTCCAAGTATCTTTGAAATAATTAGTAAGGTGCTTAGAGGGACAGATTTGCATATGCATGAAAGATCATTTATGGTTATTTAGTTACTGTGCAGGGCAAAGAATCTCATAGCATTACCTCAAAGCAGGAATTGTATACAAATATACAATGTATTACCCCATTTAAACATATACTGTTCTTATGATCACCATTTCATTTTTAAAGTAGCATTACAGCATTATGGGTCTTGGTCCCCAGGGTAAAATAAACTTCCACGGATCGTTGGTAGAAGAAAAATTGGTGAGGCCAAGGAAAGACAAGGTTTTACACTGCTGTAGGCACTTCGCAAAAATGTCTTTGCATCACTTTATTTATTACAAATAATCATATTCATGATGTATTTTAAAGGAATCTGGATAAAAGATGCAGTTCTGATGACTACAAAACACTGTTG